TCTGTGGGGAAAAATCATAGTTCCTTTTTTTCACCAAGGTGTTCATGTAAAAATATAATCCTTTCAAATTCTTCTTAACTTTTAAAGCTACTAGTGGAATGTAACTCTATCCATCTCTGCACTGGGAGTGGCTCAAAGAATCAGAAACGTCAAACTCAAAAACCTGTTTGATATTAGCCGTAATTTTGTTGACGAGTACAGGGACAGTGTTGGAATTTCAAGGAAAGTTCAATTGAAACTTTATTAATACTCTGGCGCTCATTCTGTTTCTTCCATGGAAATAAGATATATCGGTTAAAATGTATAAATGGCATAAATATACAACTACACCTGAAATAAGTTCTTACCTCATTTTTCGTCTCTCGGCACGACAGTTCCCTCTCAATATCTATTATGGCAGAGAAACCGTTTGGTTGAAATGATTTTATATGAATTCGATCTATAAAAAAAAGAAGTATTAGATGGAGTTAATTATAAAAGAATAAAGTCATGAATGTTAGTTATCATTAATGGTTGATGAAACGTTGAAAATGAACCAACAAGAAATAATTATCAATTTATTTTGAAATTTCAAATCATTGATATTTTATCCACCTATAAAAAACAAAAAGGGGTAGGTTTATGCCTATTGTTTCTTGACTGCATGATTGCTAGTTCTATAATAATAATAATAATAATAATAATAACAATTATTATTATTATTATTATTATTATTATAAATTTATCAAAATCGTATAACACAAACGCCTCGGAGGTGTCTATAAATATTAAAACTTTAAAAGCCTACAACCATTTAGATTAATTTGAATTAATAAATGGAGTAAAGCTAAAAATACATGAAATTGACCGTAAGGCAGAATTGTAAAGTAATTTTTTAAAATTTCTATCGATAATGGCGTATTTCAAAACTTGAGAAACGTCTTGGTGCTCTTACCATTAGTCTTACAATTTATAGGGGTAGGGGTAATTATGTATTTACGTCGAAATTTATGCGTGTCCATGTATTTTAAGCGTCCGAAGAACACATTTTTGTAAATCTAAGTTGGCCGCACGTGGCCAATATACCAAGTATTTACCAACCAATCACAACGGTTTTCAGGGGCCTTGAAAAAGTATTGCAAAACGTTTAAGCACGTTTTGTTATCGGTATTGTGTGGTCTAATCATCACGATATTTGGAAAACAATCTACAGACACAAGCATTTTATACAACATTAACTTGCGAGCATCAGATAAAGCTTGAGGTTTGATGTGGTAGGCGACCCATGCTTGGAACGACCGAGGGCAGAGAAAGTAACCAAGCTTTCCTGATCACCGTGCATGGTGGAAGCGTTACATTGCGATCGATGTTAACAGGGCATAAGAGAACGGTCTTTAAGTATACAACGGCTTGATAATGTAAAAAATGTAAATGTTGAACCCTTATTGTGCTCCTAAAGGATTGACAAAACTCACCGTTTTCACAGTCCTCAATTTCCAGTCGTGAAGGAGATCGTACTTGGCACAGCAAGCAGAAAATATTGCGTCCATACCGATAATCTAGGACATTTCCCATATAGGTTAAGGTAACAGGACCTGACCCACACAAATTTGCCAATTCAGCGTTGCTTTCGACATTGCACTCTCCGTCATAGAAGCCGGACGCCAAGTCGTGTTTTCCTTTAGAACCGATGCATGGTCTACCCGGATATTCAACCGGGTTTTCAAAGAATAACGTACAATCTTTTGTCTTTTTAATTAGGCTTACAATTTGCTCCGTGGTTGTTGTGTTCAGAAAGGTTTCAATTTGTGAGTTTTCACAAGCAATTTTCGGTGTCCATGTCTGGTAATTCTCGACGCCATGACACGTCGCACAGTATTTATTCTTAAACGTGATATTGGCATCAGTTGAAGAGACTGGGAGAATGGGGTCCAAATCATTGGAGTGCTCTTTCAGTTCACATTTTTCACGTACTGAGTCATTTGGCCATTTGTGTGGGCATGAAGATACCACCCAATAGTTCTTACTGTGAACGTCCCATATTTCTCTAGTGCCCTGTAGCCAGCATTCTGTATTATTCTGAACTAAGTCAATCCCCGTCACCTTGGTGTTGTTGCAGTGGCGATGGTATGGCCAACAACAATCGCCGAAAATGTCACAAATGTCGTCACAATAGCATGTGATGTGGACAAATTTTCTGGTTAATGTTACCTGATTTGGTGACACATCCACCAGAGAAGCGCAAAACTGACGATTTACGGGGATTACATGAGTCGACGAATTTGGCGATAATAGATCCTCAAACATTACTTTTAAAGGGTCTGTCATCATTGACGCTGTGGTGGTCGATAGAGGATCACTGAATTTGATAGTTTGGATGGTAGCGAAATCGTCTTTTATTCTACTCGTCATCGTGTTGTTTTCTCCAGATTCAGTGATGTTTCCTAGTATGCTGCCTTCGGTAACCTGTCCCCCATGGTCACTGAAATTCTTCCGAACATGTGCCGATGGTATTGCGACGGTCGTAGTGTCACTGACTACTTTATTTGCATTTGGGGTCGTTATTCCTGCACCAATCTCAGTGGAATACCTGATATTAGTAGACGTCTTTATAGTGTTCCCAAAAACCTTGGGAGCATTCCCAATTGCAGTTTGTGCGATGGCTCTTCTAAATCGTTTGGGATTCGGATCCCAATTCACCAAGAGAGAAATCAACAGAACAAATGAGACCTTCATGCTGGAATGTTATAACACAAGGATCTCTGCTGTGGTAGCTCTTCTTCATTAAAGGAATTGAGGGTCAGTTTTAGCTGACAACCGTTATATATACCCGTTAGGCACTAACAATCTTTCCTGGTAATTATTTTTCCTCTCTTGTGGAAAAGGCCGCATGCAATTAGTCAAAGCCATGTTTATTAGACATGCGATATGTGCTTATTAATAAGTCGGATCAAACCCTAGCGACTTAAACAAAAGGTCATCTGCTTAAAACATGCTATATCAAATAATGTTTTGCGAACAAAACTGGTTAATTAGTTGACTGACATTTCTGAATCTTTTCCCTTCTCTTTTTCTTTGTAGCGCTATGCATGCATATATATATATATATATATATATATATATATATATATATATATATATATATATATATATATATAATGACAAGAACGTGCAGATCCTGCTTAGAAGCGTACTATTGCCCGTAGTAGGGTGGGGTGGGGGGAGGCAAAGGGGGATTGAACATGTGTTATGCATTTTCGCTGTAAATTCGCTGTATTCATACTGCTTACTTGGGCCATCTTACAAAACTGAATGGTAATCTTTTTTGAGACTTTTACTGACGATTTGTTTCAAATTGTTGAGGCAGGATTTCAAATAAAATAAACACAATAATATAACCTTGCATCGGAAACCTGGTTAAACACATGGATATAACCAGTTATAAACAGTATCAATTTATTCAGGATAGACGTTTGAAGAAGAGCGTGGGCAAGGGACATATTCAAAATTGCAAACTGATAATGATCCGCAGTTACATGTCCGTCAGCGCAAACTCACATGAGGATCTTATTTTATAGAAGAATGACCAAAATATTAAATACTTAAGTTATATGCCAATTGTTCTACTAAATCGTTTGGGATTCGGATCCCAATTCACCAAGAGAGAAATCAACAGAACAAATGAGACCTTCATGCTGGAATGTTATAACATAAGGATCTCTGCTGTGGTAACTCTTCTTCATTAAAGGAATCGAGGGTCAGTTTTAGCTGACAACCGTTATATATACCCGTTAGGCACTAACAATCTTTCCTGGTAATTATTCCTCCTCTGTTGTAGAAGTGGACGCATGCAATTAGTCAAAGCCATGTTTACTAGACATGCTTTAATTATATGCCAAGTGTTATTTACGCCCGGCACTGCATACTAGAAGATAAGAGTTGGGACAGTTTGAATACTCACAAAGACGCTATAATGCCCCTTGGCTGCAGTCCAAGATATTCTACGCAATACCGTTCACTGCACATAACACTTATTTTTATCTCGGCCTTGACTTTTCAGATAGTTCATCACTTGTTGACTGTTGTGACGATACGCCAACTGTTTATCTCAGCAAAGCAAGATAATAACATAAGTGTTTTAACAACGAATAAAATGGTGTTCTCCAGAGAAATGAAGTTTTGTGTTTTCTCCTTTGAATTAGGCGAGTGGGTCAATGGTATAAAGACAGTGTTGTTAAATACAAATACGTCGACCAACGTAATTGGCCATTTTATGACTGTAAAGTACCACATTTGAAACATTGAAGACTTTTTCGCTGTAAAATATTTGTACCAGTTAAAAAAAGCTTATAGATGGATTGAATTTTGTTTTGCTATTTGCGAGCAGACGCGTACTGTTGTCTAAAGGAATTTCTTCATCTTTGCATTTATGTGAATTTCACGAAGGTTATATCATAAAGTCTGCTTTGCTTATTTTAATGTGAACAGGTAGGCCACTGTAGGTGTACGTGAAACATGTACAATGAGTGAATTGTATTGGGTCTTTGTAGTAACCTTTGGGCAACAGTGTTGCTTTATCTTTAGCTGTTTACTGAAGAGGCATTCTACGTACTGCGTAAATCCTTATCTCGATGTTTTTCTCGACAATTTTTCTTCCTGGTCAGATCTTGAGCCCCTGGTTTTCTAGGGAAGATTCACACAACTCGGGCCTGGTGCAACTTCATCAACAAGTTAAATGGGTGTTGATTTCATTATGCAATTCTAATGGCCGAACACCCAAGTCAAGCCATGATCTTAAATATATTGTACACTGCCTATACTATCAGCAGTGTGGTTCCAAAACGCCGCTGCGAAACCACTTTACTTAGAACGCTCGATATACAAAGAGACCCAGTTTATATCAAAAATAGCGATTCATAACCGGTTTGCAACCGGCTTAAGTGAATTTTTCTTAAAGAGCCTCGCCAAACTTCTTTACGTCGTATTCGTTTGCTTTCAAGCACGTGCTTCCAGACGGCTATATAAAGACAACGAGCACTGCCAGAAAATGCCAATTGGACAGTAAGCAACCCAGTCAAACGTCTCCAACTTTTGCCTGTGCACTGCCAAAAGCTGACGTGAAAAGCAAAGATGAAGACTGAAGTGTTGATAGGCATGTTCGCCCTTATGGTAAGGAATATTGTATAGTATGAGAGAACTGTTTTTAATAAATCGAAATGTTTTGATAATTAGTTAAACCTACTTTCATAGCGGAGATAGGAAGATGAATCAGAGGTTCATTGAGTTCACGTACGAAAACGCAAAGTTGGTACATTCGTTTCTTTATTTCTTTCTGCCTTTTTGTCTAAGTACATCTACATGTATCTTAAACATGTATCTTTTAAACATCAAGGATATTTTCTTTTCAAATCTTTTAAGGGCAAAATTGAATTTAATTTGCTGTAAATACTGTATTCCATTGCCATCATAACTAATATCAAATATTTATAAGGATATTTAAACTATAGCTACTGGAATTCTTATTTGGACACTAGAATTATATATTCATATTTTTGGGATCATGCATGCGTTGCAATGTACAAATAGAACTAATTAACTTTATAAAATCACCGCTATCCAAGCAGTAAATATTTACGTGACATGGTCAGTTTATGCAAGAACGATGATAGAAGTCCTTGGTTTATGTTACTCTTTTACTTGTTTATTTTTAGAAATTAGAAAAACATATTGACCACATTACTTAACCTTTACCATTTACGTAATTGTGGAAAGGTAATCGCGTTTTCCTTTGATAGTGAATAATTTGGAATAATTTATAGTTGTGGTCAATATATGCTAGAAAGGAAATATGACAAATTTTTTTTCGTTACAATTCTCTTCTTTTCTTGTTTTCTTTTGAAAGAACAAAAACCACAAAAGTGTACCTGGAAATTCAAATTATAAATAAGCAAATTTTCCAAGCAGCAAGCCGAAACACAATATATATATATATATATATATATATATATATATATATATATATATATATATATATGGTTTGAGTATCTTAAGTTACTACAAAAGTGTATGAAGTATATAGGCCTTTGTGATGGGTAATTAAAGATTTAAGAACCACACTAAATTATTTAGAGGACAAAAATAATCAACAGAAACTGAGCTATCAAAATATGTTTAACGTCGTCGCACGCTTCTTTTGAAGCCTTGCGCACTGCTTTTTTAAAACTTAAATCATGTATGTAAAATAAACTTTAAGTAATTCGCCTTAACTATCAGGTCCTTGGTGTCCAATTACCGACTACTGTATGTATGGATGTAGTTGGCAGAGTCTTTGGATGTCAGACTTAAAAAATATCACTTGCTCCTGATAAAATAATAGTCATGCACCTATTTTACGTATACGAAAGTTACACAAACCCGTAACTCTGATAATACAACAAGAACTGCCCCTTGCCGGCGGAATTAAATCATTGCAATAGAGTCCTTACCCAACTGTGTTCCACCTTTAACATAATAGAAGTGTGCCAAAAATATCTCCAACTTCGTTTTTACCACTATTAGAACATATTTTGGTCTTTATTCTTAATTCAGCATTGCAAGGGTTGACATATCGATATATCGATAAATACCATGCTTTTGTACACTGCGTTTCCGATCACTCACACTTCCTCCCCCTGATGAACACAATGTAAAATACTGTGCAGAGGGGGGCACAAATCCATCTCATAACAGCCAAAAATATCCAACCACATACATCAGCCATTCAAGACACAAGACTTTTAAAATGAACTTTAGAAATAAGACCATACCTGCATTATTACGGAAGTATTCATACACCACAAACATTTAGGGTCCCTGACAAGGTGCTACTTAATGGGCTTTTCTGAACTTTCGAGTTTTTATTTAGAGAAGATTAACAAGGCAAAATACTGCTTTCAGTAGTAAGGTGCCAGGATTAATAATGCTGTTTTTAATGGTCTTGTCAGAATACCAGTGATATCATGTACACTTCTATATCAACTTACAACTGGCAAAAGGTGTGTTAAAACGAGTAACGTAATTTTTTTAAAATTGTCACAGGCGACTGAAGACAGAAACACAAAGCTGTAGGCCTATGCATACGCACGCACGGTGGAAGAGTGCATATGATTTGGGAAGTTTTGACTTTTAAGCTCAAATTTCGATGTTGCAAAAAATATCTGGCACCCAGAGATTTTGAAGCACAAACGCAAATTTCTCATAGCATAAGAGGATAGCGCTGACTTCAACCACATGCAGCTGTAAGCCTACTTGCAGTATTTTTTTTTCTCATAATTTTAAGTTTCAACAGTTGTTATTGTTTGCTTCGTGGACTCTTTATCTTACTTTACATGTTATTAATTTTTTTCTATGTATTTCTTACTGAGCAAACGTATTTAGTACATTAACTATTTTGCACAAAATCCAAGGAGTGCTACCTAAATTGTCGGAATATAGGCTTAATGTTTATTAAAAAAGGAAAGAAAATAGCACCACGTCACCACTTTCAAAAAGTTTCCTGACAAGAAACGACATTTTAAATAAATCAACCATGTCCCTGGCGTCTGTGTTCACGCAATATGATGAGTTAGGCCCTAATGTCAAAGGTGAAGGTTTAGGCAGGTAGACTGATAGGTTATCAATGGAGGTCTGCTGCTACCCCCGCTTTTTCTCGTATCAACAACTTATGTACTCGGGTTTTCTGTCCCACTTCCTGGTTGTTGTCTTCACTGATATCTTACTGAGAAATCGAAATATTACATGAATGTCCAGTTGTGTAACTGGCAACTGTCACAAACGATACAATGCAATGAAATGCAATACAATCCAATAAAATGCGATATAATACTAAAACATGGATTATTCAACTGGCATACCTGGCGTTGTTTGTATCGTCTTTCATTAAGTTGTGTCCAAAGCCACTGGACAAAATCAATAATCCTGGTATTTTCTTGTTGTAGATGGTGGCTCCATCTGTTCACTGTTACACCTCAGGACAGGCAACCCAGTTCTACAGCATGGACCTCGAAAAAGTCGCAGGGAGCGGCGACTTCGTGTCAAGGGCCGACAACCTTCGCATCGAATGCTACAACATCTTCCATGCCTATGAGGGGTGTTCAGCGCTGGTCTTTCGTGGCAGCGGTTCCAGAAATATCTACTGGTACGCAGATGACGACGGCTTAAGTAGGAAATCTACTGCCAGCGATGGAACAACTTACGTCGTGTGGAAGAACACCCGCGGTCAGAATGTTAGGAAGAGTGTAAGCGAGGTCAAGTCGATCGCGAGAACCGTCATCCAGAAGTCTTACGGGGATGCGCGAGCCAGAGTTTACTACATAAAGGGCGAACTTGCAAGTTCTTTAAGTGTGCGCACTGCCGGCGTCTACTGTGCAAGCTCCAGTATTCCGGCCGCGGCAAGATGGTACGGGGCCCAAGATTATTACGTCCAAAGAGTTTACTCCGGGGGTTATTACTGCGACTTCTGGCTGTACGCCTGGTGAATCAACAACGCAGACCAATTCTGGCGCGACAGCTGTAACAGCTGTAACTGATATATGAAACCGATTTGTGATTGACGAGTTGATTTGGAAACTGTAGTTTACAAATTGCATTCTGAAAATTTGGTTTTGTGACTTTGAAAAGAGCTTATAATAAGTAAAGTGGGAAAAAAATCAGTCAAAATTCCTTTTAAAAAAAAGCTAGTCTTCATTTAGTATTTGTTTTGTCCGACAAGCGGCTGACTTAAACTTCTAAATATTCACTGACAGGTAATTAAATGACGTTATAATACAAAAATTTCTGCTGTAGACAGTCAGAAAAAAACTGAATATACACGAATGAAAAGTAAATTATTCTATCTAAATTAATTTTCAGCATGAACTAATTGTTTGACCAATAATTTCGCTTTCTCTAAATTAATTAGGAATAAATCACCAAACGCATTTGTTTATTTATTTTTTCTCTACTGTATGTATCATTTTGAAGAAATGCCTCTTTTACCATAAATTCTGAATCAAACTATTTTCCCAGATCACTTAAAAGGCACCATACATAGCTTTCTGGAAATGACAATACTGTTGAGGAGCGTCACTGACATAATTAATGATAATTATTATTGATAGTTTTATATCCATTAAACTCATCTGTCATTTTCTTTCTTTCTTTCTTTCTTTCTTTCTTTTTGATTAGATAATCTTCACTTTGAACAAAACCTATCTGTTTCCTATATTAATCACTTACAGAATTGATGAAAATTTAATTTGTTTGTCAAACTTCAGTGGAAGACCAGCGGAAGAACTGGCGGCCATCTTTACTCGTGTTTTGGACGAACTGGGAATTGCTGCGTAAAGAAAGACGAAAGTAATTCGAATACAAAATTATTTAAGATACGCTAGATGCCTTCGTGTCACGACTACAAGTGTTATTATCTAATAAAATGTACTGTATATTTAGACACCCTTTTTTCGAGCTAAACGACTATTCGAGTAATTATACAATGTTCAAAAAATTAATCTAAAACAAAACAAAAACAAAATAAAACCTGCCCCGCCCCTACAAGATTTATTCAAAATAATTCTAATTCGAAATTTGTAGTTTAAAATGTGCATTATGCCGAGTCTATTTTGTATGAAAGCAGCGTGTAACATTATGTTGCGTTCAGCAGTAAAATAGAACAACCGCAGCGTGATTTACATAATTTTCCATATCCGACCATGTAACGCATCTAAAACAACTTTACTGCATTTTTTCTCCTAAAATTAGAATTCAGTCTGCAGCAAATTATTATGAACGGATTCTTTTGTCAAAAGGCACTGATTAGAGACCCTCCTGTGGGTTGGATGATGCAGCGCAATCATTTTCCTATCAATAATTTTAATGCGTCACAATTCTAATTGCGATTGTTGATATTCGTCCTCATTCGGACAAGACTCAGCTGAAGCATCCACGCGAATCTTTACCTGATACTGATATCAAGGGGCACCATGTAGAGATTATGTACCGTATGATGAATAAAGCTAAAAAATTCAATCAAAATCCTTTCGGAAGAAAAAAAGCGTTATCTTCATTTAGTGTTCGACCTGCCCGACAACGGCTGTAAAAGACCTCTATAAATTCAATGCAAAATATATATTGTCAAAAAATGGCAAAATTCCAAATAGCTTACTCCCTAAGTGATGTATGTTATTTTTGGTCACCTGAACCAGATCTGGAACGTGACGTCATACTCAAGAGGTCAATATATGGAACACATAATCATTAACCCCAAGGGGGCAGCCATATTTTTTATCATTTTTATCATAATTTAGGAATAATAAAAGACTACTTGGGAACAAGATTAAAAGAAGAAAAAAAACTAACTAAAATTTGACACCGCGTGTGACAAAACTTGGGGTCCGTGTAACAGAGAGTCCACCCCCCAATTAATTATACAAGATAGGCTTGGCCTGACGTAAATGAGTCAAAATTTAGGGTGAGGCTTGCCTGGGCAAATTAATGGGAACCTGACCCTTTATCATGGGGGGCACTCTGTCACGTCAAACCGGTACGGCAGTGAGACAGCGTCTTCTAAAACAGCCATAATACACACATATCCACTAAACCAAGTAATGACTTTCACCACTTTTAACACATTTGTCTCATTATTTCAAATATTAATGTATCGGAATCAATAAAAGAACCATTATCAGATTGCACGGCGCCCATTTGCTGATTACTCAAGTAAAAGAGTGACGCTTTTTCGCGCGTGCCAGATGCGTGCAGCACTACATAGGCGGCAGTCGATTTGAGATTTGGCGATGGGAATCAAAAAGACGTGGTACATATTCCTTTCAGTTTTCACGATTTTCTCTGTATGTGGTGTCAGTGATCACATTAGTCCCTTAACAGCGTCTAATGCGCGTTCATTAATTCGCGAATGCTTGAAGAGATCTGTGTTGCAATTACCGGTGCTGACGGATTATAAAGCGTGGAAATTAATTGAACAATGTGCCTTGGACGAGTGTGGGGGACTAACGAATACACGTAGAGAGGGTGGCGCATCATTTATGGACAACACTTGGATATGCGGTGTTATTCAAAGTCCAAATTTTGGCCAAGGTTCTTATCCACCGGGGCACAGACAGAGATGGGAGTTAACCACAACTGAGGGTAGCGGTGTAAAGTTAAGATTTAACAATTTCTCACTAGAGTATTGCAACGATTATCTTTCCGTATCTATCGGCTCATGTGATGACTCCCGTCTATTCGGTAAATTTTGTGGAGAGCTGACATATCTCAACTCAACGGAACTCACCCTATCCGGAAATAAGGTCTGCGTGGAATTTTTTACAAATTATGATGACCAATTTTCCGGATTTCAAATCGAATCTCATGCAGTATTTTCAGAATGTCATCAGCTTCAACTACCTACAGTTTTGTCTTCACGCCAAGGCGAGTTTCATCCAAAAACAGAGCTAATTTCGACGCAGTGCGATAGTAAAGTGGAATATCACGTTCATATCAGTGCTCGAGATGGTGATAAAATTTCTCTGCACTGGGAAATGTATTCAAACGTTTCTTCAAACGTCTCTGTGCCGTATACATTGCAAGTATATGAAGGACCCCCAGGATCCAGGATAATTTTGTATCCCACTGACGCTCAGATCTCATTGAAAAATGGTTCCATCCGCACAATAGGTTGGAATGCATATTTTAACTTAACTGAGGAAAGGCACACACCGGGCCCTACGCCATGGGTGTTTGTTGCCCGCTACACGTCTTTTGTAACACGCCATACCCCCGGAACAGTATGCCAATCTTCTAGAAATGCTGACGGCAGCCTGGACACGTCTTGTACAAACCTCACTAATCACACTTCAGTTAGTTTAACTGCAACCCATGAACCCTTAGTTCGCTATGATATCGATCTTTTCTCAAATTCCACGGTTAGTTTAGAAAGCAACTTTCGCTTTTTGATATCACCCTTTGCTATCCCGTACGAAATGGTTGGAAAAAATTGCCCGTTCTTTGGGATAGTATTTACTGGTTACAGTGACTTCCATAATAACTTGGCGGTGGTCGGGCCGAGTTGCAACTACGATAGCATGGACTATGGGGATGGTATGGAAAAACTCAAGGCGGTTATCTATTTTAGTCGACCACGTGTAATATTTTACTGCTTTCGATTTGACAATGTCAGTGGGTCGTGTTTAATACCTAAACGTAACATAACATTCAGTTTGTCCTATAGGCGTGAAGACAGCCATATTGTGCACTGGAATGAATCAGACGGGCAGTCCGTTGCTTTTCTGTATTTTGGCAGTAACAGCACATGCCAAACAAGATATAATGGGAGTTCTGGCCATGAATTTATTGAAAATGTGAGAGTGCCGATTAGATCAGATTGTCAAGTTCATGGAATGCTGTTAATTTATTTGGCAATTCTAAAACAGCGGTATACGTTTTTCACATTTGATACTCAAATGGCAATACATTTTGAACAAAGATGGCGGGATTCTATTCGAATACAGTGTATCCTCTATTACAGAGCACACAGCAAAGGATTTGAGGGTAAAGTGTTCGAAATAACAACATTAAGGCGTTTCGATTACTTTATAATGACTCATACTTTTTGTTCATCTTTATCTTTTACCAATGTCCTGTGGTCAAAAAATAATTTACAGGTTTCGGAAGCATCTTTTGCAACCAGCGATGTAAGAGCGCGCAACGAAACGGTTACTAAATCTACAGGTGTATTATTCGGGTTTTGTGGACGACAATATACCGGAATTACATATACAATAACATTGAAAAAGGACAGGTATTGCAAATGGTGCTTTTATTCGCTGAAATTCAGAATAAGACAATGTCGGCACAATGGGACTGAACTCAAACTTAAAATAGAAGAATATTCCGCATCTGCCTCAGGTGAAAGGCATAACAAAGCTCCCACAGGTCGCATACTCGCTAGCACACCGACATTTATCTTGAAATTTAATGAAAACTCCGGTGGCTTGGTAAAATACACTTGGAACACTCTCAGTGCGTGGACAGTCTGTATTGTCCTAGAACCTCTCCCCGCTGACTTCAACCCACGGCTGATAACAGACTTTGACCTTTCTTACAATCTAGAAAACTATGTTGACATCTCTGACAGCTTAACTGAAGGTTTTCATTACGGTATCAAAGCGTCGTGTATCTTTGGAAAATGCTATAAATTACTTACCAAATTACAATCCGAAGACGCGAGACCACCCCTTACCTGGTTAAGATCGCGTGAGCTATGTCTGGCCAGTGGAGGCGACCTACCGACCGCCTTGGACGATTTAACTTTAAAGGCTGTTTTGAATCAAACTGTTATTAATACGCAGTGGTTTTTGGAGATATACGTCAAACACCGGTTCCTCCTGTTCTTGGGTCTAAGGCGAGAGAAACAGGTAAGTAATTAAGCAATATCACCAGCGATAGAGTACTCGTTGCCTTATCTAGACACACATCCATCTACAGATCATCTACATGTAGAAATAAACAGCCATTCCACGAAAAGAGTTTCAATTCCGAATAATACTTGTCGCAGCCCATTTGCAGCAATAAAACTCTGTGAAATAATGTAATTTTTGGTCTTGTCTTTTCAACTGGGAAAACGTGTGTTCTGCATGTAAAACAACAATGCACATTGTAGAACGGGAACGCCGAGCGTCTATACTGGATGCTGCGAAACGCACAATTTCTACGCTTTAGTAATATAGCGGATTTGCCAATAATAATAATAATAATAATAATAATAATAACGTGCATATGTTTCCATCTTTAAGCATTGTTTGTCCTACATTAATTTGCAGACATGTTTCTTTTTTCACATGTAATATGTTTTATCTAATATTTCTCTTTGTTACGTTGTACTTAATCATTGTCGCCCAGTAAACCGTAACCTGCATGACGTTTTTAAAGTAGATAATAGAAAGGATCATAATGCTTATAAATGAACTTCCTGTGCTTTTCTCTAACTTAAGATACATGTACAATGTACAAGAAAAATATTGTCATTTGTCCATGATAAATAAGTCGTACACACGATACAAAATGTCACACATAAAAGTTGAGATGTCACATTTA